ATATAAGTTAAAATTATTATTCATTAAAAAAATTTTGAACCTCCGATTCACTATCAACATTCAGGCAACCACCGTAATTTGTAATCGAATCATCCTTGGAAAGTATTTAGCATGTCAGTGATTAAACCATACTGATAATGATAATTGTCAAAAAATAACAAAAATAATAGCAAAAATGGCACTTGTTAATAAAATTTTTAATAAATTAAGTGTGAAGTTACAGGGAAAATTGGTACAAGGTTAATTATAATTAATTTTATTAAATAAATAAAACGAAATTACAATAAATGCCGAAAATTTTGTTTGTTCTAATCGGTTAACTCCATCCATCACGTGCCTCAACATGTTTACATTATTTTTTATCTCGTTAATTTCTTTTGTTACTCTCAAAATTAATTCTTCAAATTGTTCATAGATGTTCGATATATAGTGTTCTTTAAATAAAGCTAAAAAAACCTGCAGGAGTAAGATCATGAGATTTCGGAAGGCAGATAGTATTTGGACTAATGATTGTTGTCAAACAATTCCCTTAACCTTATTGTGGTCCTAGCCGAATGCGCTAGCTGTAGCCCTATTTTGTTGTGAAATAAAATCCGCCTAAATTTCTTGTTCATCAACCAGCAGCGGTGAGGTGAATCTTAAGAGGAATGAGAGCCTCAACATAAATATGTAAATTTTCGGTGCCCTATATTCCCATATTTTGAGAATTAGCTGGAAAATCTTCTGTATCTAATTCTTGCGCACATGTTAGTCGCAAGATCTATTCCTCGGCAAGTCCATACAATATTTCAATTGCTGCCTTAAATGTAGCATGGATTTTGTAGGGGTGTGCTCCATTACCTGTCTAATGTTTCCAGATTTTTAGGAGTTCCCATATCTTCCAATCTGCCACTTTCTCCCTTTTTTTTTTGTAGAGACGAGGTTTCCCGTAACTAGCGACACTTCATTATAATGAGTTGCAAAAATGGACATGTTGTAGGGAAATTTTCCCGGAATTCATCCAAATCACTTGAATCGAATATGCTCACACACCGTGTACCTTCTGTATATTTCTACAATAAGAGTCTATAATAAATGCATTCTGGCCAATGGAAATCATTTTTGAGGGAATACACAAATACGCAAACGAAGTTCTAAAAAGAACTAAATAAATGTTATAAAGATTATTTCTCCAACAAGCAATAAAAACGAAGAAAACAAGAAAAGTTAGGTTAGAAGGGACATATGACAGTTTTTATAGCAACATTAATTAGTAAATCGATGTAAAATTTAAATTAAAGTAAAAAATTAGTTTATAAGGATTTTAGTTTTTCCTTTTTGGGTGTCTACTTCAAATATTAGGTTTATAAATTATTGGACAATTAAAATTAATTTTATTAAATAAAATCCTTTCTATGGCGGAGCGTTAGACCGCAGCGTTGAACATATAATTTTCGTGGGGATATATGGATTCAATTCCAAACAAGACTCGATTGCAAATTATCTTGATCAAGCGATATAAATAAATCGTAGTCAATAAAAAAAACAATATTGTCTGTGTGGTAGTTCTTTGGCATAGTTACAACAAATTTCTTAAAGCGAAATATAGATGAGTTAATCAATACTCTATCCTTTCTATAATAATTGAAATAATTGTTTCATTGTCATTCTTAGTGCACCGAGAATAAAATAAGCTAAATAAATACACTCCAAGTAATTTTTAACTTTTGTTTTATTATTTGCAGTTAAAAAAAATCAGCACGTTCACTAAGTGTTTAACATTATTTTACTATGAAAACAGAAAATTAAAAATTGTGTTATATGAAAGTCCAAAAAATATTGTTTTCATTTATAAAAAAACATACCGACGAGAAATGAAAAATCAACTGAATTGAACTCAAACTTTAAAACATGCAATGATTTGAGAAGAGTTTGTTTTTCGAACACAAATATAAAGTAAGAAGGTCCATCGGGCAACTAGTTCCTTTCATGTTTTCTCGACTTTTCATAATCCCTACAGTAAAACAAGTGATCTCTCATTTCCGACTGTTACTATATCTGCCGTCTGTCGCCTGTGTCGATTTTTGATTAGACAGAAAATTGGACCGAGTCTTTTCAAATTTTTCTATGCATTTTAAAGGTATCATGTAGATGGTAAAAGTAACTAAAACCTGTTTAATTGCCCTACCAAGAAGGGATAACCTACTCTCCAAAATTTACAATAGCTTTTTAGAAAAAAAATTGTATAACAACATTTTACAATTTTTTAACTTTGAAACTGCACAACCGAATACACTGAAATCTTGCAAACGTTTTAATGTAATCGTAAACATGATATATCGTTAATCAGAATTTATTCGTTTATGGCTCCCCCAAAAATTGATCACGTCATCTTCCTGGTTTGCCGAATAAATGTTACTTCAAATTTTATAAAATACCCAAACGCATAGAACGGCTTCTTTATCTATTCTCTAACAGTCCACACATATCTTTATTTTAACTTATGATAAAAAAATTACAATTCGCAAAATTAAATTTTATTATTGTTACTAAAAAAATACAATTCGCAAAATTAAATTTTATTAGTGTTGGAAAAATCTGTATTTTTTCGCCTATAATTCAGGGGCGAAAAGAATTCCGTGTAAATGATTTTAGACCAATTTTTTAGGCATATTTAATTTACAAAGTGCCGTCAACCTTATTTTAAACTTTGTTTACATGAGCAGTGATCTTAAAAAATGAGTATATATATATATATAATCAAATTTTAAAATTTATCTATAATATATTATATACTCATTAATTTTTGGAGTCACCCTGTACAAAGAATTCTAAAAACTATTATTGCATTGATAACCCACAAATATAGTCATAATATTTTGCGTATTTTAGGTAAGATTTATTCGGCAAAATTTTTTTCGGTGTTTATGGTAACGTTTAAACGTTTGCAAAATTTAAGAGTATTCATTGCCATTTCGAAGTTAATTTACAAAATCTTGTTACAAAATTAACTTTTTCCCAAAAATTTGGATGTTTAGAATAAAAACTCGATACAGATTCATATATCCTAAATGCAGGAGAACCTTATTTTATAAAATTTAAATAATATAATTTACTACTGTAAATTTTGGAGACGAAACAAATTTTGGTTAGCGTTTTATCATCTACACGATAATCCTAACATACATATTTCGACAAACTAAGAGTTTCGGAGACATCTTTCTAATAAAAATCGACACCCGCGATAGACAAATAGACGGAGACGTGAAACCTACTTTTTTGTATTCTAGAGGTCATGAAACGTCGAGAAAATATGAAATTTACTATTCGTCGGATAGATTCTTACGCTCGGGAAGTAAAAAGTCTAGCATTTCCTTACCTTTATTAAATAGTTATAGCGTCCAAGTTAGACTTTAATACCTAATGGCGTAAATTAATTAAACGTAAAACGGTTATAATTTTCAAAAATTCTAAATATGTATCTTCTATGGATACTAAAATAATAATAAATTGTTAAGGGTAATATGCTCAAAAATATAGTACTACACGTGTTTATAATATTCTTTTTTGTTTATAGACTTACCAATAGCTAAAAAAATCACATAATACTAATAAAAAAGAATAGAACGCAATATGTAGGCGGTATTTCGGTATTTATTACGCTCCAAAAGTAGGAACACTTTTGTTTAAATGATTTTAGATTTTTTTACATTGAACTACTCATTCATAATTAAAATATTCAAATGTTGTTTAAACAAACCCGTCGAATAACAGGTTTTGTTAATTTATTTTGATATAAAACATTTAATTTAACGTTCAACATGATACTAATGGCCCAAAATTCGTAACTCTTATCATAAAATGATCAAACAATGTGTTGATATGTTTTTCGCGTGACGTTTATTTGCATGAAATATAATCTAAATGTAATTTATTTCCGCACTATGAACCTCTGCTTAAGTAAATAGCTTGTTTTACAAAACGTGTTGATTATGAGTGGGTTTTATCGCCAAAAAAACATCGGCACTATAAAAAAATACTAGTTTTGTAACTGATTTAATGCTGTATTATAAACATACCATCCAATACAATGAATAGGGGAAAATGGAAAGATGGAAAGAATAAAACCATAAGGATTCGCAGAATCTGCATATACATGTTTACGTTATCCTTGAAAAATAATAAAAAGATGGGGACTGGCAAAACCAGAAATTTTTTATTCATTTGTGATATAACATAATAAATTTTAAAATATTAGACTTCCCCAGTTTCCCACCAATATTGTAAAATTGGAAATAATAAGAACATAGAGAATTAAAGGAAAATATGTTTGAGGGTAGTGTAGTAAATTCCAGGAATATGTTTCTCATGCGTTTTTTGAGTTATTCGAACATAATGAATTTTCTCAGTTTCCTTAATTATGCATTTGCAATGACAAAAAAGTTTTGTCTCTATTTTACTCTACGAAAATATGAACAATAGACCCTGTTTTCTTGAATAACACATTTAGATTTCTCAAAACTTGCCGAAATTTCCGTCCCGATATTCCAGTAAATAAAAGTGAAAAAACACAAAAAACTTTTATTTTAGTGTTTTTAATCTAAGTAATAATTAAAGCGTAACGAAGCGGAATGGTTCCACTAAATTATTATCCGTACTGTCATCGTCTTGTTTACTGAAATTATCAACGCTACATTATCCTGAAGTGCACTTCTACTACCAGATACAACGCCGTCTAAAATAATTTTGATAAAACAAACGCCAGAGTTATTACGTACGGATATAAAAAGGGTTAAAATATTTTTACGACGATGTAACGAAAGTTCGTTACCTCAGAGAATAAGTTGGTTATAAAAAACCCATTAATCCAATTAAAATCAGCTCAGAAACTTGGCATAAAGCATCTGGCAACAAGCCATAATAATTCGAATATTAATTTTCCAGGCATACGCAAAGCTCCTTACATCGAAAAGTTTTTATTCTATAATTTAACAAAAGGACAAATGTTTGTTGGTACATACAGGAAAAACGACGACCCTTACATGATGGAACTTCCCCAACGTCTTCTATAAATCACCTCCTTTTTCTTATTTACGACCTGCCCTCGTCGATACTATCCAATAAATGATCACGTGTTTGTTAATCGACGCGGAGAGTCCAGAGCGGCGTCGGATACGTATCGGCACCGCGACGCCCGAACAACTGAAGGCGTCGCAGGAATACCGCGATGCCTCTTCGACGCCAGCGCATTGCAGCCACCGCACACATAAACACCTTTTTAATTCCAGTGATTTTAATTTACCTTCGTACATCATTTATGAAGCGTAAGGTATTTGCCACCAATTTACGAAGCGTCAGGAATTCTGACGATGCCTGACGCGGTCAACCTTATCTTATTGTCGGTTTTGAGTCGGTGAATTTCAAGGGTTGAGGTTCAGCGGAGGTACGGGCTTTTGCTCATCTGCGTTCTGTGAATGTGGGAAGTAATAATCTTGAATAATTTTAAAATCTGTTTTTGATAGCCGCCTTTCAAGTTTTCGAGATTTGTGCAGGGCTGATCAGATATTAAAAAAAAAAATGGAAAAAGCATGTATTGAGACGATCGTAGTACTTACTTGCTTTTTCTTTTGTGTTTCAGTGAGCGCTGTCTGGTATATTTATATTTGTGCTACATGAAAAATTTTATGATGATGTTGCGTTTCTTATGTTGAATTAATTCAGGGCAAAGTAAATAAACCTTCGAGAAATATTTTAACGTAATAAGTAATACAAAATTCGAGAAAAAACTTAATCCAAAATTTTATTACTGGTTATCATTTGATAATAAATATGAGAAAATAGCTTGTTAATATGAAATATGACATACCTACATATTGATTCAAACAAATTTAGCAAATACCCGTATCTGTTTGTAATTTAACTAAATCAAAATATTTTATTTACAACCACTTAACGATCTCCATTTTGGGATCCACACAAAGCTAGCGATCTCGTTCAAAGCGTCCAAGACTGAATATTAATGTTGTTACTCAAATTAGCTCATCAATTTGAAAGTTCGTACTTGCTTGTTGTAGGGCTTTATCCAAAAACAGGAAGAAACGTCAAAAATAAAACAAAGAATGAGGCCCTCAAATCTATTGTGACCAAGCTTGAAAACAATTTCAAGATGTTGCAGAGTAAAGACATCATTAATTGGTACAAAATATGCTGTAAAATAAAATAAGGATGTTTATTATTATATGAGTGTGAAACTTGTTGCATGAGTGTCAACGAGTGCTGCAACCATTAGCTATCCAAGCACGTTTGACATACCATTTTTGTTTATGATTTATATTTGCATTTGTGTTTAAGTTATTAGAAGTTTATCAGTTTTTGTTTCATATTGTCTGCTTTCCATTTAGTGATCGATTTTTTCCTGTATAGTTCAGAACAGAGTACTTACATCTACTAATACGAAACTGCTTTAATGTTGTACAAGCATCTTAAGTGATAGGTAGTGCGTCATTAAACAACCCTAAACAAATCACAGAAGTGGTGAATATCAGAGTTAACCCAATTTTCGATTTGTTATAGATCCAACTTTATCTGGATTATAAACAAGGAAAACACACGAGTTATACCTTCCACTTTTTTCAGAAAATTTGAAAATTCAATTACAGGCAGCGAAAGAAACCACTTGGGACCGTAAGAAGTTGCCACTTTCATCTTAAGAAAAAAAAGAATATAAAAAACTCTTGCTAACGAGATCGGCTTTATTCCTCCGGAAATCGTGTGTTTAGAGCAAATTATTGACTTTTGTTTATCTTTCATTTTTAGTCAACACAGTGTGATGCTAAAAATATAAAAAGTGTTTACCTTAACGTATTCTCCATTCATTATAAAAACAGCAACGATTTGGATTAAACACACGATTTGCGCAGGAGCGAATGGTAGATTTTCGCTTCCTGGAATCGGATTTTCGTACTTTCGTACTTTTTCGGAAAGTTAGGATTTGTGGCGTCTCCTTGGAAGTATAGTCCTGTCAGTTATAAACAAAATCTAAATTGAAAAAATTGGGCGAAGGTTATTAGTTCGACAGAACTTCCCTCGTCCCTGAATTACAGTAAAATAAATCTAGATTTTTCGAAAAATTATAACATTTGATTTTGCGAATTTTAATTTTTTGTGATAACTCTTGTACGGTAAGATAAAGACATGTATGTAATATAAAAGTAACGGTAAAAAAGCGTGCTACACTTTTGTTTCAAGTGAGTTTTTCCATTACAAAATTTTGTTATGACGTCAACATCTTTGCAAGGACACGTATTCCGATAGAAGCAGTGCAATAGGTACTAATAATAAAGTTCTGTATTTTCACATTTTCGGGAAAATGGAGTGTGTGTTTCTTCATCTAATCAATACAATAAACTGTTTCATTCATTAATTTTTTGAGTCACCCTGTATGAGTAATTCTAAAAACTCTGAATGCATTTTGATAAACCACAAGTTTAATATTTCGCATATTTCAGAGAGGATTTATTTGGCAAAACTTTTAGATGACCCCATTAATTTTTTGGGCGGAGCTAAACGAATCAAGTTTGATTAATGATTTGCCATGATTACGATAACTTTAAAACGATTGCAAGATTTCAGAGCATTCGGTTTTGCAGTTTCAAAGTTAAATTGCATAATCTTGTTATACAATTTTGATTTTTTTTTCCAAAAATCTGGATGTTCAGGGACAATCTCAACATGGATTTATACACCACAGTGCAAGAATATCTCATTTTATAAAAATAAAAATTAATTTACTGTTGTAAAAAAAAATTGGTCGCATTTAGCATCTAAATGATATTGCTAATCTACAACAAAATTTTTTTATTTCATCTTTCTCTTATACATTTTTTTTTGTTCTACTTGATTCTTCTAAAAAATACACATGAATACTAAAAATAATTTTAAAATTACATTTGCCTCTTCAAGTCTTTGTTTACCTCCTGATATCTGTTTATTCTAAGTAATTTAATCTTTGTTATCTCTTTATTTTGCGTAAAACATTGTTTATATTTTAATTGCACTTAAATCAACCGTTGTTTCAAAACGTAAAATTTGATATTGAGATCAGAGTCTAATCCAAATCCAAAAACACACTTTTTGTTCTTAGCTGAGTGCCCTATAAGTTAAAATAAAAATATGTGTAGACTGTTAAAGTACACGTCCAAAATCTTGCTATGTAGTCACGGTGGCTGCAATCCGTACAGGCAGAGACATTGTCAAGTATATTATCAGAATATAGTTAACTTCAACTGTTTATGTTTATACATCAAAAGAATGCGACCATTACGTACGTATCAAGCTAACTCCTCAAAATATAGAAGGCAACTAAAATAATTAATTGAACTACAATAGGGCAAAGCGTTCTAAATATTCTTACTTTGTATTTTCAAATGTTCGAGAAAATATGGTTGGTGGTTTAATCGGTTTTGATTTGATCAATATAAAAAGATGTCCTGTCTAATAAAATATTGTTATTATTATTATTATCTCGGAAACCATAGATGAATAATAAAACTACTATTTATTTGTTATTTTGTTATTTATATTCCGTCGTGAAGAAAGTGCTCGTTAAAATGTGATTTTTTGTTCTGTGTGGCCATCACGTAGTAGTGTATTAAAAATTTTTTAGGTTATGTTTAAAAAAAATTTTTTTGGTGATTTATGACCTATTACTGATGAATTAAAAATTGATGCATTTTTAGGAAAATGAGTGAAAAGCAACCCAATATTTTGCTGACAGCATCTCAGGAAGAATTTTAGTTACATTTTGTCAAAACAAAGATAATAATCATACAAAAGTGATTCAATCAACTCATATATTTATTAAATGTTTGGACAGGCGTCTGTCTCATAAAATTCTTAAAACTAAATCGAGGTGGACCATGCTGTTTTGCAAGAGAACTTGTTTTCTTTTTTACTTCCCGAGCGTAAGATAAAGAAGTATTGTAATAGGGTGCATCGGGTAACTGGCTTCTTTCATGTTTTCTCGGCATGTCATGACCTCCCAGAGTACGAATAAATATAATAGATCTCTCGTTTCCGTCTGTCTGTCTACCGTCTGCCTTCTGTCATCTGTTGTCTGTGTCAATTGATTGCGGTCAAATTTTAAATGTGTGTTAGGAATATCGTGTACATGGTAAAATACTAACCAAAATGTCATCCCCACCAACTATGGGATAACGTTATCTACGAATTTTACAATGGTAAATGTTACTTAAATTTTGTAAGATAACATACCCCTACAGTTGCGGTCCGTGTTGAGTTTTTACCTTAGAATATAAATTGTTGGAAAAAATTCAAAATTATATAACAACATTTTAAAATTTAACTTTGAAATTTTAAACCGACTGCTGTGAAATCTAGTATACGTTGGCGGAATCATGGTAAAACATTGATGAAAATTTATCTATTTGTGCCGCTTCCGCCAAAAATTGATGACTTCATCTTACAATTTTGCCAAAGAAATATTATTTACATTTTATGAAATAAAATACTCCTGCACATATGGTTTATGAATCTGTGTTGAGTTTTGCCTTAGACAGATGTTTGAAAAAAAATACAAAATTGTATAAGAATATTTTATAATTTATTTTTGGAAGAGGAAAACCACATGGTTCGAAATTTCGCAAACGATTGTTGGTTATTACAAGTAGAGTAAATCGTCTCTCCCCTCCCTTCAAATTGATGGCTTCGTCGTCAAATTTTTCCGGATACATCCCATCTAAAAGGTCCAATACATTTTTTAGATGTATGTAACAATCTAAAATCAACTCAGAATTTCACATTTAATAAGAAACTAACATTTCATAAAGTACGAGAAATTATCTCCACCGTCAGGAGCAATTAGTGTAGTCCAAACAAGGAGAGCAGAATTCAGTTAACACGTCGAGTCCAACGAGTGTCGAGAAAACTCAGTGAATGTTGCGCCGGAATTATTTTGTACATAATCGCTCTGTAACTAGTCGCATAAATCCGAGTTATTAAGAAAAAATATTGTTGAGTTTTACCCACGTCGATTATAATCACCGATGAACGTAACAATACATGTAATGAAATTATTAAAACGGGTATTTACCCAGTAGTTTCATCTGTCGGTAAAATCGGCGATGCTAAGATCATCAACAATTTCGACAAATTTCAGTCATGCCAAT